GTAGAATAAGTCAACTGAAGCAGAATAAAAAGTTAGACAATTTTCTATCAAAAACATTCTCATAGGCATATAAATTAAATTTTAGTTGGATACATTTAAATGCTTGGGCGAATGCTGGTAACTTTAAAGATGAGTAAGTTAAGTTTCACAGTCGTTTCAATGGAACTAATAATTAATTACAACTAACTTTTTTTGTAGAAATGTAACTCATTAAATAAAACTTTGTGTAAATATCTGGGACACGTTTTATATAAGGGTCAGTGATACTACACAGCTGCTGATACAATATCATGAGCACGATAGAGTTTTGAACATAGGCATCACAGTTCGACAAAAGACACGCTAAAATCGTGTTCAGCAAATTGGTCGAAAAACCAAAAGGTTTAAACTAGATTTTTCTGTTAAATATGAAAATGAAAACTATACTACTTGTCACTGAAATGAAAGTAACACATACGAATATGCAAAGATTAACACGAAGCAGAAAAGTTCGATGATCAGAAAACAATGTTATTTTTTAATCTGAATATACACGTAACACATAATGTAGAAATATACGGTAAAAGCTATTCAGCTATGCACAGTATAACCCAACTTTGCCAAAAGTGTAATATCAAATAACAAGTACTTACTTCAAGCACACCATTTGTGAAGACAATAAATGCAAAATACTTAGACAATTTTTCTTCTCCTGAACCATCCATACTGAAAAATGAAAATAAAATATAAACTTACATTATGAAAGTGGAAATTTCTTAACAATTTACAAAGATGGTGTTTCAGTTGTTTTTTTCTAAATTACTCATTAAAAAATTGTTAAATTTAACATATGAAAGCAGTGTTACTTGGTGTCCTGAATTAGTATCAGACAATTTCAATAATAAAAAAGAAGTCTATTCAGTATGCTAACAATCAGGTTAAAGATAAATCGATTGGTTTGTAGTAGTAGCAACAGCCTTGGAAGCTAAAAATTTCAGATGCGATTTTACTGACGAGGAGAGGACGAAAGTTTTGTTTGCATTAAACAATAATGAAACATATGTATAACAGATACCATTTTACACACTTATTTGACGAAATCGCATAAGTCACAAAACGAACTTATCAATGTAAATCCGAATGTAAACGTTGATTCCTATTCACCCAAGCAACACAGACATTCCTGCGGACAACTAAGTCAGTCAGTCAGTTGCAACGTAGAACTTCGTACGTATGTACATAAGTTCATGTTGCCATACCACATTAGCACACAGACGCAAATGTCAAATCAAATACCATAGTCATAAAGATAGTAGAGGTATTAATGGTAATGAAGAAGACTGGGGTTTGATGATATTATTCAAGAAGTATAATTCAGTGAGATAAGGTTAGAAAGACAAAGGTAGAGGTGTTGACGAATCCAGAAGATTAGGATTTGAGAGAGCACAACGAATGGATGCACTTGCGCCATTGCAAACGATTCTGACCCATGTCGTTCAAGGTCTCTAACCATCGGTTACTATTGTCTCGCTGACCCCAACCAGGTAGTCTACATCTACCAACATTACTCAGTCCACTAGTCAGTGACTTCATGGATTTCTGCCATGTTTTTGTTTGGCCGCTCCTAGCTTTTTTCGAACCTACTCCTACACCACAAAACATAGCTCGTCGAGGCAGTCGGTGGTTAGGCATACGTAACACATGTCCCAAGCACCTCAACTGATGAATGATATTGATTGAATTGAAAGCTTCATTCCGTTCCGTTAATCGAAGAGTCATGAAAATGTGTATTAATGAACAGTGTACTACTGCTCATTAAGTAAAGAAAGATTAGAGGGTGAAGTCCTAGTGCTGGGTAGGGTATTTCTCTCGAACAACCAGTATTTATCTAATGGTTAAAAGTTGAATGATTTAGCCGTCGAATATAATTTATGAAAATAAATTTAAATCACAAGAGGTAACTTACATATCACTGGTCTCCATGATATTACTATTTAAAGATGAATGGGATGTAGAAGACAGTAAAAATCTGGGTGGTTGTGGTGTGGTATAGCCGGGAGCTACAGAACCTTCTCTTTTACAAATTTCTATCGGTTCACCATAAAGTAGAATACTTTCTTCTTCTGAAGCACTGATAAAATGTGAAGATTTCCTGAATATACGTAAAAAGAACGAGAATGTGTTACATTAAATGTACACTTAACTGAATGGAATAATCTTAAATTTTAAAAAGCAAATGTCAATACTTACTCTGGTGGCGAAGTGAATGATGATGTGAAATCCGAAGATGGAGCAGTTGATCCAGGTTCTGGCCAAGACAATAAGTGATCCAGAGAAGCATTTGTGTGTAGGTTGAAAAATGAATTGTCAGCTGGTAGGTCTTTGCAAGCCCAAAGCCATCGAGCTAAACGTCCAGCCTGATCATGATATAAGCTGAAACAGAGTGGTGCAGACACCTAAAAACAAGAAATGAAATATATCTATGATGTATTGAATGAATACATCAACTAAATTGTAACTCCACTTAACGACATCTGACCATTACGTCAAACAATTTTTTTGAGGAATTCTGTATGAAATTTGTGGAAACATTTCGTAAATCATTTTACTAGGGCTTTGAAACTTTCTGAAATTTATTTCAGTCACAAACTAATACATTTACTCCATTGTAGTCTAGAGACATTAAAATACGAAATAGCAAAAGAAAAAGTTACCGTAAATAAATAACGTAGTTAAATTGTATCGACTGAGAAGTAATGCAATGGATAAAATAAGCTAGCTCCCTACATCTACATATCCATGAAGAGATACCTACAGTCATTTCTGTAGTATTGAATCCACTTACTTCAAGCTCAACTATTTCATGACTCACTTCAAGAATCTTCAAATTATGAAAGTCGATAAAAATAACAAATTACTAATAATCATAAATATTGTTGGTAGAATGAAGTATAACTATGAAATTTATGATGATAGATACCTATTCAAAAGAGTCGTATAAGTGATAGTAGTTATTGATCAATTAATACTTTTGGAAATTCTAAAGTATTTGAGTAACCGCTTTAAACTACTCTAATAAATCAAATAGAAGGAAAGTCATGCTAACCTTAGTGAGATTGAATGCAGAGAGACGAGTTGTGTTGTAACATTAATCAAGATTGGAATAACTATCGAATTAAATATTAAGTAAAGTAACTTATGAATATCCTCTACACTAAGTGGTCACATTTCACACCCGTAAAGTAAAACGGAGCGAACTGCTGTGCAGTAAACTCGTCTTTTGGTTAGTAGATGGATATCTCGCCTATGCCATAAGTGATGCGAGCTGACAAAAGTCAGCCAAGCCCACTGTGAGTATTTGGTCCATACAGGTCTGAGATCAACCTGGTTTTTCTCTATTTAAGCATCGAAGTAATCAGTAATAAGTATTAAAGTTCAGTCGCTTAAAGATAAACTTGTTTGTAGCTGAGTATCAAAGTCATGCCTTCATTTGTCACAGTAAATTTTCACACCCACTATGACTAGGATGACAAGAAGATTTTGAGAATAGTTTGTTATTTTCTGTAGCCTCTTAATGACTATCAACTTTTGACATAAATTATTTTGGAACTTGTTCGAAAGTTTAATGTCTTCTTCTCCTTTGTAATTTTAATTCTAACATAGATATTTGGTGCAAGTAATAATTGTAAAATATAAATAATGATGGGATATAAATGGGAAACTACACCCAGTAAATGCATATAAAACTCCGAAGCGTCGATACAAATTCAGACTGTCAGACGATTTTTATTTAGTCCTATAACAAAAATATTATTTAGTACTGAATGTTTGTGAAGGTAATGACATGAACAATATCAGAGATAAGAAGTGACGATGTGCGAGGTAGTTTGATACAAACATTTTGGTGGTTACTCAAAAACGTTTAATAATAAGTTTAAGTTGAACGATATACTAAACCATTAGTCTCAATCACTACATTTGTAACAACCGTATTATTAATTTAGGTTAAAAGGTGAACTGTACCATTGTAGAATCTTCTCTAGTCAGCAAAAGATAACTATGCGTTAAATCATTGGATAACTCCGATTCTATATCAAAACTGTCTTCATTTATAACTTCTTCTTTATTTTCATCAGACATATTTACAGCTGGTTCATCATCCTTAGAACTTTCTTCTTTTGTATCATCTGTAGCTGGAAAGAAATACAAGAGCGATGAAAAAAAATGAAATTATGTTAGAGGAGAATAGGAGTCTAATATGATGAGCTTCCTCAATGATTAGAAGTGGGCTGTTCATAAAGCAGGATGAACTCTAATGGTGTTAGGAAGGTGAGAACGGGTGACTTTTCCTCACTATGGATTGTTTGAGAAACTTTTTTCGCTATGAGAAACTTAAATGGTCTTAATCAAATGCATTCATATGTTTAAGGACTGTACAACTAAAGACGGAACTCCATGGAGTAAAAAAGTGATATTTTTTACTATCTTTTTTAAAAATGTGAAGATAGTATCTCTGAGTACACCGGTTACTTTGAAGAAACATTTTTACAAGTAAGTCTCGACAGAGACGTGGGTTCGAACTTGCTATCGAGTTTATTCTGACATTTTCTATCTTACTGTTTCTATACAACGGTAGGAACTCGACAACGGAGCATTTAACTCAATTTCGATCAACTGGATCATCATGATAGGTAATTACTGCTATCACTTACAATGAATTGGTATTTTTCCTAGGATTGAGCATATCAATTACTACTTACGACAAAGTAACCAATTACAACGTACGATATTTCAATAATTCAGGTACTTCAAATGTAGGCAGATTAAAATTCTTACCAGAAACATTAGAGTTATCACAATAATCTATTGCAAACACAGCTTTATATAGACAACAGATTAATACTCTGTGGAGGTATGAATAAATATCTATCTGAGAAAGAGTGAAAACATTTCTTAATGAAGATGTATACTAGCTAATCAGTGTATAGAACTCACTATTTAAATTAGACAAAAGGAATTTATGATTGCATTATGAATCAACGTTAAGAAACTTACTGGATTCAGAGGCACCTATAGTTTTCTCAGCATTTTCGTCGGATTCAGTTGGTTTTTCGGTTACATTCTCGTCGATTTTCTCTTCTTCTGATTCAAGATTTGGTATTTCCAGTTTTTTGTTTGAAGTAGCGGATGGACTACTGTTTGTTTCAGCTAAAGGCTTACTAACAGGGGGTGACGAAATATTTTGGATAGGAGTAATTATAGGTGGACCGTAAAGAGACCATAAACTCATATATTCAGGTAATTCAAAAGCAGTTAGACCTCGTGGTCTTACACTTGTATGTAAAAGTGCTATGCCTCCACCAGAAACTGGATTCTTCTCAGTAGGCACATTAAATGAACGCGGTATACACGCCATTAACTCAACATGGTGCATCTCTGCTTGGGCACAAGTAAGAGCCTCATCCGTAGGATCAGTATTACCAGGAGCTAAGCATGGAACTTCACCACATGTTAGTTGCCCCATTGGCCCCAAGTTGATCAATCGGTCCACTACCTAAATAGAATTGAACGAAATCGTAAGTACATAAAAGACAAAAAATACTTACGCAGTTTTCCTGGTGCTTTCAATATGCAAAAAAACAGAAAATGAACTTAGTTTACAGTGAACCAAGTATCAAAACATGGGTTACCTTAGAGATTTTCAACGTAATCTATTTGATGAACGTGAAAATATGTAATAGCTATGTCAATAAGAACATTACGTAAGATGGACCAGAACTTATATCTAAAGGATTCCATGAAAACTAGGAACGAAGAGCGTCTAGTCTGAAAGTTTTAAACTCTTTTCAAATACACTAGTGACAGACAAACAGACAGACAGATACAACGCAGAACTTCGTACATAAGTACATCAGTTTAGGTTGCCATACCACGTCAGCACAGAGACGTAAGTGTCAGTTCAAATCCAAGAGTGATAGAGATAGTACAATTATTAGCAGCAATGGAGAAGATTAGGGAGCTAAGATATGATTCGAGGAGTATAATTCAGTGAGACAAATTTAGAAGGAAAATGACAGAGATTATGAGGAATTCAGGTTAGAATTAGACAGAACACAAAGAGTGGATGCACATGCGCCATTGCAAACGATTCCGACCCATGTCGTTTAAGGTCTCTAACCATCGGTGACTTTCGTCTCGCGGACCCCAACCAGATAGCCTACATCTACCAACATGACTCAGTCCACTTGTCAGTGACTTCATGGATTTCTGCCATGTTTTGGTCTGGCCGCCCCTAACTTTCTTCCAACCTACTCCTACACCGCAAAACATAGCTTGTCGAGGCAGTCGGTAGTTAGGCATTCGTAACACATATCCCAAACACCTCAACTGATGAAGTTTTAATGCTTCATCTATTGATTTGCTCTCCCTACCTAGAACTACCTAGAACGATAGTATTCCTTACTCGGTCGTCCCAGGATACACGATCAATGCTTCGGAGACACCTATGATCGAAGACTAGTAACCTACGAATGTCCTCTACTCTTAACGGCCATGTTTCGCATCCGTATAGAACAGAGCGAACTGCTGCGCAGTACACTCGTCCTTTGGTTAACAGGCGGATATCGCGCCTGTGGCATAAGTGACGCAGGTTGGCAAAAGCCAATCGAGCCTTCTGTATCCGAGCTGAGATTTCGTCAGTCACCAGGCCATCAGCACTGATGAGACTCCCCAGATAAGTGAAGCGGTCTACACGCTCGACAAATACACTAGTCAATCTGAATAAACAGAAATTTGATTGAAAAAATTAAATATATCAGAAAACAACTTACTTTGAAACTATAATTAACAATTTCACGATAAATTGAAGGTGGACTAAGAATACTTTCTCCATAGAGTTCAACATCGACCTCGTCAAATTTATAATGGGTAGCTGGTACGATATCCATGTCATCTAATGTACTACTTTTTGTACTTTCTACTAGCGACAATGATGTCATCTTGTCGTTTTCTTCTTCTCCTTCTATACGGGGACACTTGTTAGGAATCTAAACGAAATAAACATTAACAAGAGATAGATAACATTAAAACAGTAATGTTGAGGAAAACACATAATCAAATGTATAATATTTGATAGGATATGTTTTATTATTGTTATAGACTTTACAACCAGTGGAAAATAATCACACTACTATCAAATCAACTCATAAACTAATATAGGCTTTTTCATGTTGGGAAGTTGAAAGTAATCAATAGAAACGCCTAGATCAAAGTTTTGTGCTCGGCTAGTAAGTAAGGTGTATCTGCAATGTACGATGAATTAATAACCCATGTGAGATTCATACACACACCACCCAGTTTCATAGTTAAAGACAATAATATTGAACTATCCGAGCTTTGTCTGATTTACCATAGAAAGTATATTTTGGTTAGATATCGAAACTCTAAAAAAAGTGGCATGATAAATTAAATGTTGGAAATTTATGTTGGTTCAAGATATGCTTAAACACAGATTAAGGTGAAATTCAGTCAGTCAGTTGCAACGTAGAACTTCGTAAGTATGTACATAAGTTCATGTTGCCATACCACAGCACAGAGACGCAAATGTCAAATCCAATCCCATAGTGATAAAGATAGTAGAGGTATTAATGTTAATAAAGAAGACTAGGGTTCGAAGATATTATTCAAGAAGTATGATTCAGTGAGAAAAGTTTAGAAAGTCAAAACTAGAGGTGTTGAAGAATCCAGAAGATTAGGATTTGAGAGAAAACAAAGAATAAATGCACCGGCGCCATTGCGAACGATTTTGAGCTATGTCGTTCAAGGTCTCTAACCACCGATTATTATCATCTCGCGGACCAGGTAGTCGACAATTACCGACATGGCTAAGTCCACTCGTCAATGAAGTCATTGACGAGTGAAATTAATCTACATACTGCAGCCGCAAGGCCTAAAATATATACTGATATTAGAAAACAAATAAAAAGATGGTTAGTGATGACTAAGAAGAATCACTGTACTGTTGGAGGCTTATAGAAGATTCATAATTTTTAGATGATCAGACAATAAAAATAATTTCTTTTTAAGGTGTATGAAATGAATGCGAACTTTTGTGTTTGAATTCGTAAGGTTTCTGACTTTCTTAAACTATATTATCACTCACAACCGATTATTCAATGATAAGGTAAATGCATAAATTTCAAGGGCAAATTTTATAACTCCACTGTCCTCTGTACAGTTAGAAATGTTATTTTACTTTATCCATTTAGCCCCATGATAACGAAAATTTACATGGTTCTTGGTTTTATTCATTTCAATTGGATTTAGTGAATTGGCAATGTCATTTCAGCCACCACAACTTGGTTAGTTCATTGGATTGGCTAAATCTTTTGGTCGGAACTTGGTATGAAACAGAAAGGGTTTTGTCAGTCAGTCTAAGGTCATATGAATTAAGCAGTTTATCAGAATGTTTATTCACTAATCAAATCACTTAGTAAATAATAAAGAGACGTAAGCGGTTAGAATATTTTGGCTTTCAATAAATAAGCTAACCTCGCTGTCAGTAAGATTTGAATTTTTCAGTGTATTATCAGTACCGTTAGATTGATTTAATAGCTGATGATCCACTTCTTTACCATTCACATCAACACACAATAAACAATAATCGATTTTCATTAAAACAGAATCACAAAAGCGTGAACCAATGAAGAGATATTTCGATTCCAGTAGCGTCATCTGAAGAATTTAGAAAAAACGAAATGCATTTTGGATATATAGAGTAATAATTATTAGAATGATGCTTCAACGATGCTGCAACTAATATCGAAATAAGCTATGGGAATAAATCTTTTTTACTGAATAATGTATTGACAAGAAAATATACTCATTTAAATTAACACGTATTCAAATATGAGGCTGCATAGTTCCACTAGCGTACACACTTCATTAATGCATATTTCTCACCTAGTTACTAACTGTGAAAGTATATGCAACCGTTTTATTGGTGATGGAAAACGCTCCATTAGCTCGCAGAAATAAAATTTCTCAAGTATTATAACTTACAGCATCATTTTTTAAGATAACGACGGTTATCTGTCAAATAACAAATAACATTTTTCCGCTACGTTGTAACTCAATTCAGAAATATTTTTAAGAAATAAAGCTATGAACGAATCGTTCATTTTTTGTAATGGTTTGAATGCTTCCACTAATATCAAGGACCAAAATTGATCCATTTGACCAGTCCCAAGGAGGAGGAAACGCGATTCCTAGATTTCGCTATTATCTAGCCTTACTAAAAAAAGTCTACTAATTGTTTAAAAAAAGCTTTATTGTACAACTAAACATTTAGCATTATGATTTTGGAATTTTAACATGTGAGCCTGTAACAAGCAATCTACTTCTAACAACGACACCTAGAGCTTTACTACTTTTGTAAGCTATAAAGATAGATAGTAGACTACTGTAGTGATCCCATCATAGAAAGTAACCAATATCATCAATGAGTTCCGATATGGAACCAAATCCCATGAGAAAGAGAAACAATGAATTTTACTGATAGGTTCCAAATAAAATGAAGTTGGATTCATGACACAGCTCTCCTATATTTTATATGGATAAATTAAATGTTTGGAAATTTTTAGGACTAAGATAAAAGATTCTACAGGTGTAACAGATTACTAAGATTTAAGCGTTTCATGTAATGACGAATATCTGAGTTCTTTAAACCTTTGGATCTGAGTGATGGGAAATATCCGTCATTTAGAAAAAAGCAACTTGGAGAATGAATACTCAGACAAGCTGAAGAAGCCTAACAACTGGGCCATCGTTCATCAGAAAACGAGATCTAATTCTTCTCGATCGCTTCGTTGGGGATGCTGAATCCTTAAATATTATATCTAAAAAGAAGTCAGTTTTAAAATTCGTATATCGATTTCAGATGATAATTGGATCAACTGAAGTATGATTTAATTCTTCTACAGGTTTTCACCAATACATCTTTATCGTAAAACGTATATTCTCTTTCCACGATAGTGAGGGGGATAATCGTTGAAGAATGGTGTATTAGCCCCCCAGTCTATCCAGTTAGCATAGATTTTGTCCCGTGTTGGAACTTTCAAGTCTTCCCTAATTCAGAAACGCAAAATCCAAACTCAATCCACAACGAGTTTACAACATTTAATCATGCTATTTTTTCGTAAATACTTTGTATATAAGCATGTTATGTTATGACGCAGGATCACACTATTGACATAAACGCACGAATGATTTAAGATCACTAGCCGGAAGAGCAAGTTAATCTGTGAATATTCATCAGTCAACCTTTTTGCATTATTGCACTTTATCAATCTATCGGCACGCTATTAACGTATTTTAACAATAGGAAATTTGTTCATTAAACCGTTGGACTACACTCCATAACATACCCTACTAAACTGCAGAATTACTGAAATTAGAGACTACTACTAGTCAAATTATAAAACCATGCTAGTATTTCCTCTAGGTTTACAGATTGAAAAATGAATACAAAACTTACACAATGTAAACCTAGAGGAAATACTAGCATGGTTTTATAATTTGACTAGTAGTAGTCTCTAATTTCAGTAATTCTGCAGTTTAGTAGGGTATGTTATGGAGTGTAGTCCAACGGTTTAATGAACAAATTTCCTATTGTTAAAATACGTTAATAGCGTGCCGATAGATTGATAAAGTGCAATAATACAAAAAGGTTGACTGATGAATATTCACAGATTAACTTGCTCTTCCGGCTAGTGATCTTAAATCATTCGTGCGTTTACGTCAATAGTGTGATCCTGTGTCATAGCATAACATGCTTATATACAAAGTATTTACGAAAAAATAGCATGATTAAATGTTGTAAACTCGTTGTGGATTGAGTTTGGATTTTGCGTTTCTGAATTAGGGAAGACTTGAAAGTTCCAACACGGGACAAAATCTATGCTAACTGGATAGACTGGGGGGCTAATACACCATTCTTCAACGATTATCCCCCTCACTATCGTGGGAAGAGAATATACGTTTTACGATAAAGATGTATTGGTGAAAACCTGTAGAAGAATTAAATCATACTTCAGTTGATCCAATTATCATCTGAAATCGATATACGAATTTTAAAACTGACTTCTTTTTAGATATAATATTTAAGGATTCAGCATCCCCAACGAAGCGATCGAGAAGAATTAGATCTCGTTTTCTGATGAACGATGGCCCAGTTGTTAGGCTTATTCAGCTTGTCTGAGTATTCATTCTCCAAGTTGCTTTTTTCTAAATGACGGATATTTCCCATCACTCAGATCCAAAGGTTTAAAGAACTCAGATATTCGTCATTACATGAAACGCTTAAATCTTAGTAATCTGTTACACCTGTAGAATCTTTTATCTTAGTCCTAAAAATTTCCAAACATTTAATTTATCCATATAAAATATAGGAGAGCTGTGTCATGAATCCAACTTCATTTTATTTGGAACCTATCAGTAAAATTCATTGTTTCTCTTTCTCATGGGATTTCGTTCCATATCGGAACTCATTGATGATATTGGTTACTTTCTATGATGGGATCACTACAGTAGTCTACTATCTATCTTTATAGCTTACAAAAGTAGTAAAGCTCTAGGTGTCGTTGTTAGAAGTAGATTGCTTGTTACAGGCTCATATGTTAAAATTCCAAAATCATAATACTAAATGTTTAGTTGTACAATAAAGCTTTTTTTAAACAATTAGTGGACTTTTTTTAGTAAGGCTAGATAATAGCGAAATCTAGGAATCGCGTTTCCTCCTCCTTGGGACTGGTCAGATGGATCAATTTTGGTCCTTGATATCAGTGGAAGCATTCAAACCATTACAAAAAATGAACGATTCGTTCATAGCTTTATTTCTTAAAAATATTTCTGAATTGAGTTACAACGTAGCGGAAAAATGTTATTTGTTATTTGACAGATAACCGTCGTTATCTTAAAAAATGATGCTGTAAGTTATAATACTTGAGAAATTTTATTTCTGCGAGCTAATGGAGCGTTTTCCATCACCAATAAAACGGTTGCATATACTTTCACAGTTAGTAACTAGGTGAGAAATATGCATTAATGAAGTGTGTACGCTAGTGGAACTATGCAGCCTCATATTTGAATACGTGTTAATTTAAATGAGTATATTTTCTTGTCAATACATTATTCAGTAAAAAAGATTTATTCCCATAGCTTATTTCGATATTAGTTGCAGCATCGTTAAAGTATCATTCTAATAATTATTACTCTATATATCCAAAATGCATTTCTTTTTTTCTAAATTCTTCAGATGGCTCTACTGGAATCGAAATATCTCTTCATTGGTTCACGCTTTTGTGATTCTGTTTTAATGAAAATCGATTATTGTTTATTGTGTGTTGATGTGAATGGAAAAGAAGTGGATCATCAGCTATTAAATCAATCTAACGGTACTGATAATACACTGAAAAATTCAAATCTTACTGATAGTGAGGTTAGCTTATTTATTGAAAGCCAAAATATTCTAACCGCTTACGTCTCTTTATTATTTACTAAGTGATTCAATTAGTGAATAAACATTCTGATAAACTGCTTAATTCATATGACCTTAGACTGACTGACAAAACCCTTTCTGTTTCATACCAAGTTCCGACTAAAAGATTTAGCCAATCCAATGAACTAACCAAGTTGTGGTGGCTGAAATGACATTGCCAATTCACTAAATCCAATTGAAATGAATAAAACCAAGAACCATGTAAAATTTCCTTATCATGGGGCTAAATGGATAAAGTTAATTAACATTTCTAACTGTACAGAGGACAGTGGAGTTATAAAATTTGCCCTTAAAATTTATGCATTTACCTTATCATTTAATATTCGGTTGTGAGTGATAATATAGTTTTAAGAAAGTCAGAAATCTTACGAATTCAAACACAAAAGTTCTCATTCATTTCATACACCTTAAAAAGAAATTATTTTTATTGTCTGATCATCTAAAAATTATGAATCTTTTGTAAGCCTCCAACAGTACAGTGATTCTTCTTAGTCATCATTAACCATCTTTTTATTTGTTTGCTAATATCAGTATATATTTTAGGCCTTGCGGCTGAAATATGTAGATTAATTTCACTCGTCAATGACTTCATTGACGAGTGGACTTAGCCATGTCGGTAATTGTCGACTACCTGGTCCGCGAGATGATAATAATCGGTGGTTAGAGACCTTGAACGACATAGCTCAAAATCGTTCGCAATGGCGCCGGTGAATTTATTCTTTGTTTCCTCTCAAATCCTAATCTTCTGGATTCTTCAACACCTCTAGTTTTGACTTTCCAAACTTTTCTCACTGAATCATACTCTTGAATATATCTTCGAACCCTAGTCTTCTTTATTTAACATTAATACCCTCTACTATCTTTATCACTATGGGATTGGATTTGACATTTGCGTCTCTGTGCTGTGGTAATGGCAACAATGAACTTATTGTACATACTTACGGAAGTTCTACGTTGGCAACTGACTGACTGAATTTCACCTTAATCTGTGTTTAAGCATATCTTGGACCAACGTAAGTTTCCAACATTTAATTTATCATGCCACTTTTTTTAGAGTTTCGATATCTAACCAAAATATACTTTCTATGGTAAATCAGACAAAGCTCGGATAGTTCAATATTATTGTCTTTAACTATAAAACTGGGTGGTGTGTGTATGAATCTCACATGGGTTATTAATTCATCGTACATTGCAGTATACACCTTACTTACTAGCCGAGGCACAAAACTTTGATCTAGGCTGTTTCTATTGATTACTTTCAACTCCCAACATGACAAAAGCCTATATTAGTTTATGAGTTGATTTGATAGTAGTGTGATTATTTTCCACTGGTTGTAAAGTCTATAACAATAATAAAACAATATCCTATCAAATATATACATTTGATTATGTGTTTTTCCTCAACATTACTGTTTTAATGTTATCTATCTCTTGTTTAATGTTTATTTCGTTTAGATTCCATAACAAGTGTCCCCGTATAGAAAGGAGAAGAAGAAAAAAAACGACGTCGCTAGTAGAAAGTACAAAAAGTAGTACATTAGATGAGCACTGGATATCGTTACCAGCTACCCATATAAATTTGACGAGGTCGATGTTGAAACTCTATGGAGAAAGTATTCTTAGTCACCACCTTCAATTTATCGTGAAATTGTTAATTATATGTTTCAATAGTAAGTTGTTTTCTTGATAGTATTTAATTTTTTCAATCAAATTTCTGTTTTATTCAGTATTGACTAGTGTATTTGTCGAGCGTGTAGACCGCTTCACTTATCTGGGGAGTCTCATCAGTGCTGATGGCCTGGTGACCTGACGAAATCTCAGCTCGGATACAGAAGGCTCGATTGGCTTTTGCCAACTTGCGTTACTTATGGCGCAGACGCGATATCCGCCTGTTAACCAAAGGACGAGTGTACTGCGCAGCAGTTCGCTCTGTTCTATACGGATGCGTAAACATGGCCGTTAAGAGTAGATGGACATTCGTAGGTTACTAGTCCTTTCGGATCATAGGTGTCTCCGAAGCATTGATCGTGTATCCTGGGACGACCGAGTAAGGAATACTATCGTTCTAGGTAGTTCTAGGTAGGGATAGCAAATCAATAGATTGGAAGCATTAAAAACTTCATCAGTTGAGGTGTTTGGGATATGTGTTACGAATGCCTAACTACCGACTGCCTCGACAAAAGCTGTATGTTTTGCCGGTGTTAGGAGTAAGGTTGGAAGGAGAAGTTAGGTGGCCGGCCAGTACCCAAACATTTGGCCAGAAAATCCAGTGAAGTCACTTGACAAAGTGGAGCTGAGTCATGTTGTGGTAGATGTCGGCTATCTGGTTGGGGGTCGCGCGATGAGCGAAAACGTCACAGCTGATGGTTAGAGACCTTAAACCGACATTGGGTCGTGAATCCAGGTTTGCAATGGCGCATGTGCATCCATCTTCTTGGTGTTCTCCGTCTAATTCTAAACCCGTGAATTCCTCATAATCTCTGTCATGTTTCCTTTAAATTTGTCTCACTCGAAATCTATAACTCCTCGACATCATATCTTTAGCTCCCTAATCTCTCCATTGCTGCCTAATAATTGGTTGCTGCAATTGTACTATCTCTATCGACTCTTGAGATTTTGAACGTGACAACTTACGTGTCTCTGTGCTTGACGTTGGTATGGCAACCTACACAACTTGACTGTACTTATGTACAGACAAGTTACTGCGTTGTATCATGTCTGTACTGCTTTGTCTGGTTCACTTAGTGTATTTTGATAAAGAGTTTACAACTTTCAGACTAGACGGACTCTTCGGTTGCCTAGTGTTTCATTGGAATCCTTTAGATATAAGTTCTGCGTCCAATTCCTTACGTAATGCTTACCTATGATTCGACATAGTACTATTCACATTTATTTTCACGTTCAGGTCAAATAGCATTTTACCGTTGAAAATTCTTCTAAGTGTTTGGTAACCCATGTTTTGAGACTTGGTTCACTGTAAACTAAGTTCATTTTCTGTTTTTTTGCATATTGAAAGCACCAGGAAAACTGCATAAGTATTTTTTGTCTTTTATGTACTTACGATTTCGTTCAATTCTATTTAGGTAGTGGACCGATTGATCAACTTGGGGCCAATGGGGCAACTAACATGTGGTGAAGTTCCATGCTTAGCTCCTGGTAATACTGATCCTACGGATGAGGCTCTTACTTGTGCCCAAGCAGAGATGCACCATGTTGAGTTAATGGCGTGTATACCGCGTTCATTTAATGTGCCTACTGAGAAGAATCCAGTTTCTGGTGGAGGCATAGCACTTTTACATACAAGTGTAAGACCACGAGGTCTAACTGCTTTTGAATTACCTGAATATATGAGTTTATGGTCTCTTTACGGTCCACCTATAATTACTCCTATCCAAAATATTTCGTCACCCCCTGTTAGTAAGCCTTTAGCTGAAACAAACAGTAGTCCATCCGCTACTTCAAACAAAAAACTGGAAATACCAAATCTTGAATCAGAAGAAGAGAAAATCGATGAGAATGTAACCGAAAAACCAACTGAATCCGACGAAAATGCTGAGAAAACTATAGGTGCCTCTGAATCCAGTAAGTTTCTTAACGTTGATTCATAATGCAATCATAAATTCCTTTTGTCTAATTTAAATAGTGAGTTCTATACACTGATTAGCTAGTATACATCTTCATTAAGAAATGTTTTCACTCTTTCTCAGATAGATATTTATTCATACCTCCACAGAGTATTAATCTGTTGTCTATATAAAGCTGTGTTTGCAATAGATTATTGTGATAACTCTAATGTTTCTGGTAAGAATTTTAATCTGCCTACATTTGAAGTACCTGAATTATTGAAATATCGTACGTTGTAATTGGTTACTTTGTCGTAAGTAGTAATTGATATGCTCAATCCTAGGAAAAATACCAATTCATTGTAAGTGATAGCAGTAATTACCTATCATGATGATCCAGTTGATCGAAATTGAGTTAAATGCTCCGTTGTCGAGTTCCTACCGTTGTATAGAAACAGTAAGATAGAAAATGTCAGAATAAACTCGATAGCAAGTTCGAACCCACGTCTCTGTCGAGACTTACTTGTAAAAATGTTTCTTCAAAGTAACCGGTGTACTCAGAGATATTATCTTCACATTTTTAAAAAAGATAGTAAAAAATATCACTTTTTTACTCCATGGAGTTCCGTCTTTAGTTGTACAGTCCTTAAACATATGAATGCATTTGATTAAGACCATTTAAGTTTCTCATAGCGAAAAAAGTTTCTCAAACAATGCATAGTGAGGAAAAGTCACCCGTTCTCACCTTCCTAACACCATTAGAGTTCATCCTGCTTTATGAACAGCCCACTTCTAATCACTGAGGAAGCTCATCATATTAGACTCCTATTCTCCTCTAACATAATTTCATTTTTTTTAATCGCTCTTGTATTTCTTTCCAGCTACAGATGATACAAAAGAAGAAAGTTCTAAGGATGATGAACCAGCTGTAAATATGTCTGATGAAAATAAAGAAGAAGTTATAAATGAAGACAGTTTTGATATAGAATCGGAGTTATCCAATGATTTAACGCATAGTTATCTTTTGCTGACTAGAGAAGATTCTACAATGGTACAGTTCACCTTTTAACTTAAATTAATAATACGGTTGTTACAAATGTAGTGATTAAGACTAATGGTTTAGTATATCGTTCAACTTAACTTATTATTAAACGTTTTTGAGTAACCACCAAAATGTTTGTATCAAACTACCTCGCACATCGTCACTTCTTATCTCTGATATTGTTCATGTCATTACCTTCACAAACATTCAGTACTAAATAATATTTTTGTTATAGGACTAAATAAAAATCGTCTGACAGTCTGAATTTGTATCGACGCTTCTGAGTTTTATATGCATTTACTGGGTGTAGTTTCCCATTTATATCCCATCATTATTTATATTTTACAATTATTACTTGCACCAAATATCTATGTTAGAATTAAAATTACAAAGGAGAAGAAGACATTAAACTTTCGAACAAGTTCCAAGATAATTTATGTCAAAAGTTGATATTCATTAAGAGGCTACAGAAAATAACAAACTATTCTCAAAATCTTCTTGTCATCCTAGTCATAGTGGGTGTGAAAATTTGCTGTGACAAATGAAGGCATGACTTTGATACTCAGCTACAAACAAGTTTATCTTTAAGCGACTGAACTTTAATACTTATTACTGATTACTTCGATGCTTAAATAGAGAAAAACCAGGTTGATCTCATACCTATATGGACCAAATACTCACTGTGGGCTCGGCTGGCTTTTATCAGCTCGCATCACTTATGGTATAGGCGAGATATCCATCTACTAACCAAAGGACGAGTTTACTGCACAGCAGTTTGCTCCGTTTTACTTTACGGGTGTGAAATGTGACCACTTAGTGTAGAGGATATTCATAAGTTACTTTACTTAATATTTAATTCGATAGTTATTCCAATCTTGATTAATGTTACAACATAACTCGTCTCTCTGCATTCAATCTCACTTAGGTTAGCATGACTTTCCTTCTATTTGATTTATTAGAGTAGTTTAAAGCGGTTACTCCAATACTTTAGAATTTCCAAAAGTATTAATTGATCAATAACTACTATCACTCATACGACTCTTTTGAATAGGTATCTATCATCATAAATTTCATAGTTATACTTCATTCTACCAACAATATTTATGATTATCAATAATTTGTTATTTTTATTAACTTTCATAATTTGAAGATTCTTGAAGTGAGTCATGAAATAGTTGAGCTTGAAGTAAGTGGATTCAATACTACAGAAATGACTGTAGGTGCATTCAACTTGGGTTTCGAGTATATTCAACAAATTCAATATGAAACAAACAGAAAAAATAATGTTACTGATAATATGGCCGATCAATCGACTACTATCACAAACACTAAATCAACAAAACAGAATACTGTGAAATCTTCCAAAGAAAATATTGTAGGAATTGATTATCCTTACATATTACAGGTTGGTCAAATTCGCAAGTATTTATTATTATGATTATCAATATTTACAAACAAAAATATACTTCAGTCAATATTATACCTTTCAATCCGATTAATAAATAAATTAATTAATTAATTAACTTTTCAACAGTCAAGCTGTATATTTACTGTTATTTTTAATATATCCATTCGGTTCTGTACAGTTCATTTATATTATATAACTTCATTATTGTGCAAATGTTTATTTACTTTTCTATTTAAATCGATATCTTTATCTGAATTTATTCATTCTTACAGGTTTCACCTACATCTTTACGCTTACTTGATGGTCCAAGACTCGTCGAATATGTTCAAGTGACTTTAGAATGGCGTATACATTTAGCTAGTTGTGCTGATCCTTATGTTTTATTATGTACTGAAGATGATGAATTATTTTTAGTACAGTTAAAAAATCAAGATGATATCAGTAAATTTAGTCCAATGAAAAAATCAAATCATAAAGTTATCACATCTACACTAATCGACGAAAATGGTGATCAACCTGCAAAATCAATATCTACAGCTCATTTAGAAGTGATCAGACCAAAAGTTAAACAGGCAAGAAAAGCATTCATTCCTTACCCTATTTCTCTGAGTTTTTTATTATAGTTAAATCAATATTTTTCATAAGAGTTATGATTGAATTTTGATAAGAATATCGATAGTGTGTCAAGTTGAAAGTTATTGTAAAAATGTAGTAGTTCGGGCAATTTTAAAGATGTTTAGAGACTTTTACAGTTTCTCACACGGATTCATAATGATCTGCATGCGTTTATGTAAGTAATGACATGTCATATTGTTTAACTCCTAACCTATCTCTTCATGGATATGTAGATGTAGGGAGCTAGCTTATTTTATCCATTGCATTACTTCTCAGTCGATACAATTTAACTACGTTATTTATTTACGGTAACTTTTTCTTTTGCTATTTCGTATTTTAATGTCTCTAGACTACAATGGAGTAAATGTATTAGTTTGTGACTGAAATAAATTTCAGAAAGTTTCAAAGCCCTAGTAAAATGATTTACGAAATGTTTCCACAAATTTCATACAGAATTCCTCAAAAAAATTGTTTGACGTAATGGTCAGATGTCGTTAAATGGAGTTACAATTTAGTTGATATATTCATTCAATACATCATAGATTTTATTTCTTGTTTTTAGGTGTCTGCACCACTCTGTTTCAGCTTATATCATGATCAGGCTGGACGTTTAGCTCGATGGCTTTGGGCTTGCAAAGACCTACCAGCTGACAATTCATTTTTCAACCTACACACAAATGCTTCTCTGGATCACTTATTGTCTTGGCCAGAACCTGGATCAACTGCTCCATCTTCGGATTTCACATCATCATTCACTTCGCCACCAGAGTAAGTATTGACATTTGCTTTTTAAAATTTAAGATTATTCCATTCAGTTAAGTGTACATTTAATGTAACACATTCTCGTTTTTTTACGTATATTCAGGAAATCTTCACATTTGATCAGTGCTTCAGAAGAAGAAAGTATTCTACTTTATGGTGAACCGATAGAAATTTGTAAAAGAGAAGGTTCTGTAGCTCCCGGCTATACCACACCACAACCACCCAGATTTTTACTGTCTTCTACATCCCATTCATCTTTAAATAGTAATATCATGGAGACCAGTGATATGTAAGTTACCTCTTGTGATTTAAATTTATTTTCATAAATTATATTCGACGGCTAAATCATTCAACTTTTAACCATTAGATAAATACTGGTTGTTCGAGAGAAATACCCTACCCAGCACTAGGACTTCACCCTCTAATCTTTCTTTACTTAATGAGCAGTAGTACACTGTTCATTAATACACATTTTCATGACTCTTCGATTAACGGAACGGAATGAAGCTTTCAATTCAATCAATATCATTCATCAGTTGAGATAGTTGGGACATGTGTTACTAATGCCTAACCACCGACTGCCTCGACAAGCTATGTTTCGTGGTGTACGAGTAGGTTGGGAGAAAACTAGGTGCGGCCAAACAAAAACATGGCAGAATTCCATGAAGTCACTGACTAGTGGACTGAGTAATGTTGGTAGATGTAGACTACCTGGTTGGGGTCAGCGAGACAATAGTAACCGATGGTTAGAGACCTTGAACGACATGGGTCAGAATCGTTTGCAATGGCGCAAGTGCATCCATTCGTTGTGCTCTCTCAAATCCTAATCTTCTGGATTCGTCAACACCTCTACCTTTGTCTTTCTAACCTTATCTCACTGAATTATACTTCTTGAATAATATCATCAAACCCCAGTCTTCTTCATTACCATTAATACCTCTACTATCTTTATGACTATGGTATTTGATTTGACATTTGCGTCTGTGTGCTAATGTGGTATGGCAACATGAACTTATGTACATACGTACGAAGTTCTACGTTGCAACTGACTGACTGACTTAGTTGTCCGCAGGAATGTCTGTGTTGCTTGGGTGAATAGGAATCAACGTTTACATTCGGATTTACATTGATAAGTTCGTTTTGTGACTTGTGCGATTTCGTCAAATAAGTGTGTAAAATGGTATCTGTTATACATATGTTTCATTATTGTTTAATGCAAACAAAACTTTCGTCCTCTCCTCGTCAGTAAATCGCATCTGAAATTTTTAGCTTCCAAGGCTGTTGCTACTACTACAAACCAATCGATTTATCTTTACCTGATTGTTAGCATACTGAATAGACTTCTTTTTTATTATTGAAATTGTCTGATACTAATTCAGGACACCAAGTAAACACTGCTTTCATTTGTTAAATTTAACAATTTTTAATGAGTAATTTAGAAAAAAACAACTGAAACACCATCTTTGTAAATTGTTAAGAAATTTCCACTTTCATAATGTAAGTTTATATTTTATTTTCATTTTTCAGTATGGATGGTTCAGGAGAAGAAAAATTGTCTAAGTATTTTGCATTTATTGTCTTCACAAATGGTGTGCTTGAAGTAAGTACTTGTTATTTGATATAACTTTGGCAAAGTTGGTTATACTGTGCATAGCTGAATAGCTTTTCCTATATTTCTACATTATGTGTTACGTGTATATTCAATTAAAAATAACATTGTTTTCTGATCATCGAACTTTTCTGCTTCGTGTTAATCTTTGCATATTCGTATGTGTTACTTTCATTTCAGTGACAAGTAGTATAGTTTTCATTTTCATATTTAACAGAAAAATCTAGTTTAAACCTTTTGGTTTTTCGACCAATTTGCTGAACACGATTTTAGCGTGTCTTTTGTCGAACTGTGATGCCTATGTTCAAAACTCTATCGTGCTCATGATATTGTATCAGCAGCTGTGTAGTATCACTGACCCTTATATAAAACGTGTCCCAGATATTTACACAAAGTTTTATTTAATGAGTTACATTTCTACAAAAAAAGTTAGTTGTAATTAATTATTAGTTCCATTGAAACGACTGTGAAACTTAACTTACTCATCTTTAAAGTTACCAGCATTCGCCCAAGCATTTAAATGTATCCAACTAAAATTAATTATATGCCTATGAGAATGTTTTTGATAGAAAATTGTCTAACTTTTTATTCTGCTTCAGTTGACTTATTTCTACTTTTAACTTCATATTAACATACTTTGGATAAATTCTTTTTTCTTACAGATTTATAGTTTGCCAGATTTTACTTTACTCTATGAAGTTCATCATTTCAGCGATCTTCCACAAATGTTGATAGATCATCGAGGTGTAAGTAGTGAACAACTTCATAAACGATATACAAACTCACAAAAGTAAATTTTTATTTTCGTTTCTTTTCAGTCATTACCAATAATTGTTTCCTAGTGTTAGATGATTACTTAAAACTTATCATTATGTTATTCTGTGTTGCGTGAATCGATTGTTTTGTTTTGTTTTGCCTTTTTAAATTCAATGCGTTAATACATACATAACAGTTGTTTTCATTGGTTAGGCTCGCTTATCGACTTTGAATATGCCGATGACATAGTTCTATTCGGTGAAGACGCTGACAAAATGGAGAGTCTTCTGACCACCCTAAGCAACAATGCAAGCATGTTCGGGATGCGGTTCTCACATCTCTGAAATGCAAAATTTTGCTTCAAGATTGGGTTGCCATCGGCACCTGAACTAGTGATAGGGAGTGAAGTAGTGAGCGTGTAGACCGCTTCACTTATCTGGGAGGTCTCATCAGTAATTTACGCTTACATTTCAAAGCCAATTTTGTTTTCACGGACATTAGTTACTTTATTATGCCTTAGTACATGTTGAGAAAGTGGAGATCGTTGAGTGATGATGGGAGACTCATATTTTTCACATGAAATCCATATATGAGATTTTGAGAAATCATTTTTATATTTCAACTTAGTACTAGTATGGGCTTGGAATATTAGATAATGGAAAGCAAAGAAATTTTTCAAGTAACCAAAAATTGATATCAATGATAAGGTTGTGGACACTTTCATTCAGTATCAGAATTTATTAAACAGTTTCTCCCTTAAATTTAGCGTATTCAATTAGACTCTAGCATTCTGTTTAAAATAGATATCATAACATGATCAGCGCTATTTACTAAAACAAGATGAAAAGTGCAACCCATATTTCAGGTTCATAATCTTTATATCACTTCCGTGTAAACTATGTCTACTCATTCTATATATTTTATATTTCCCTTAACTATGATTAATTCACTAATCATCAATCATGTCATAGAAACGAGTTATGGTTGCTTTTGTCTGATCAAGACGATGTAT